CCTGCTTGAGCAGGGCGTTGGGCTGGATCATCTCCAGAGGTCCCCTCCAACATCAGCTATTCTGTGATGCTGTGAAACTCTGCAGAGAGTTCTGCGTTTGGGTGAGAAATCATTCCACAGTTTGCTACTTGCTCCTTAAGCAAGCTCCAGCTCAGATAAAATTTGCAGGTGACACGGAAGGATATATTATGATGAATAAGCAGCAATCACACAAGTAATCTCTGCCACTTTGTAGGTGAACTGTATTCAAACTGTGCCTTAATAGACCTTAATTGTGAAGCTGTGCATCTGCAGGAAGAGATGACAGTCCCTACCCCCTAACTGGGTCGCAGTGTAAGCAAGAAGGCTAAGGGTCCTTCAGCCCAGGAGGGAAAGGTCACAAAACCATTCCTATGGCGATAAATTAAAAGCCAGAGAAACTCAAACAGAAAACATGGCACATTTTTCCTTGCTCAATGGGAAGTTCAGTCATTTACAAAATTAAATGAGAGAAAGCAGAGTGTTGTGTCTTTTCATAACTTCGTGAAAACTCTGCTCTGCCAGAAAGCACTTTCTAGTCAAGCCGGCAGAGCAAATGCAGGTGACATGATCCCTCTTGCATTATACCAGAGCTTTATTAATCTTTTCAGAGTTTAAAATTTACAGGTGGGAAAATCAGATTTTCTATGTAAGAATCTGAAGCCTGACAACGTCCTGATATGTACACGGTCTCACCCAGCAAACCCTAAAACCAGACCCAGGTGCAGAGGTCCCAGTGCCAGGGCAGCATCGCAGCAGCATCACTGAGATGACGGGCCAACCTTCCCAGAGCTGGACCGCCTCGATGCTGGACATGCCGCGCTGTCACGGTCTGCCTCGGCAAACAGCAGCTGCGGTGCCAGCACGAGACCTGTGTCCAAACACAAGTGGTGATACATCTGAGCAATTTCCATGGGACAAGACTCCTTTAAGGAGAAGACTTGACTCACTCCTGACTCCAGAGCAACAGGAGATGACATCTGGGCAGAAGCAGCCAACAGGACCTTTTCCACCCTCCAGCAAGGAAGTCAAGGTGCTTTGAACATCTAAGATCAGCCTCGCTTTTCCTAGGGAGGGAAATTAGCACCATACTCTTTCTAGATAGCCTTGTGCAGCTGGGAGAAGGCACCATGGGAGAAGCAGAAACCTACAGCGTTCTCAGTCAGCACGCGTTTTGCCAGCACAGAGCCCTTCGTGACTCCTGTATTTTCAGGAGCTCTGCAGAAGACGGGTTAAGCCTGGGCAAAGGCAGAAGGATGGCATCAGCCATTACTGCAGACAATGGAGCATCAGTCACATGGACAGGATTTGGGACCCTCTTTCCACTATTACCTTCAATCTTCACAGCAGCTTTGTCTGGACTATTTCTTCAGAAATTATCTGAAAACAAACAGACTTCAGGTGCAACCTCGTGCCTTCAAACAGCAGCTCAATACGCTGCTTTTCTTCTCCGAATGCCTCCCTACAACCCAGATACAGCAATTCCTGCCGTGCAGATGGAGACTGAGACAAAACACTGGGAACTGAGTCAGCAGTGGAATCCAGATATCCACTGTCAGATAGATAACAAAATAATTTATTTCACCGCAGCAGAGCCCCATTGGCACAAACAGCTGAAGAAACTCTGGAGGTACCAGCTGCACACACAGCACCAGGCTCCCTGCACCCTTGCTACTCTGGCAAGGTTAGTCTTTGGCTCAGGATTATGGTTCAGGCTTAAAGAACACACCATCAGTAGCTCCTTCTCTCTGCGAGCCGTATGCAATTATACAAGGAATGTGATCGCAGCATGATGAACTTGAGCTGTGCTGCTCAAAGGGCACCAGGCTCTCCTCTCTGCAATAGCTCTGCTCAGTCTCATCAGATCATTGGTTCAGCTGTAACAGGCTCTTCTCAAGGACATGGAACCACCCCTGGAAACAGCAGAGAGATGCTATTTCTGGGATCAGTCTCCTCCCAAGATTTCTACTCAGATGCTAACTAGTCTTTCAGGCCCTGAATATTTCTCCTGTTGTCCCCCACCTCCTCACCAGAGGCTTGTGCTTCTCACAGCCAGCGCACGAGGAAGAGGGGCAAGGGCCCCCCTCAGCATGAACAGGGTGTCCCAACGCGCAGTGGCGGGTTCAGCTCTCGCCTACAGCACTCTGCCCAGGGCCTACAGTTTGCTTTCACTGATGTTCCCGGAGACTGAATCCTCCACTAGCTGCAGTCCTGGTGGTGCCCAGCACAACTCCAGTAAAGTGACTCAGTACCACTGACTGGCGGTGTCAGCAACCATCCATGGAGCTGAGCACTCCCCCAGAGCTGTAGGACAATCCACCGCTTCCCAAAGCTGGTGAACTCTGCGGAGACTTCAGCCATCACCCATCGGCTGTGTCTCTGCTGCGCCCATCCTTGGGAGCCGCACGGCCACGTTGTGCTGCACAGTGAGGGAACAGACCTGCACAGGGACACCAGACCAAACCTGGGGCCTCTGTCCAGCCACCCTCTCCAGCCGCCGCAGAGAAGCTCCAGGCACTGCCACCAGGTGCAGGTGGAGCACCGGCAGGAGCCAAAGAAGAGGTGGGAAGACTGTTCCCAATACTGAGGCTTCCTGGGACACTGCACCTGGAGGAGCAAGAACACTCTGCAAATGGAACGAGATGTGCAACAGCTGGAAAGAAGGACCAAGAGCAGTGATTTGCCAAATGAGGGACCAGGAAGCACCTGGCTATGCTCAGTTTTGTCTCAGAGTGACAGAAGAGCTAGGCAAAAGAGAAATGAAAGAAACATGAATGTGTTTTTCAGTGATCCACAGCTAAGATGGACTTGTGCAAAGCCTTTGACACTGTCCCGCATGACATCCTTGTCCCTAAATTGGAGAGACATGGATTTGATGGATGGACCGCTTGGTGGATAAGGAACTGGCTGGATGGTCACACTCAGAGTTGTGGCCAACAGCAAGTGGTGTTCCTCAGGGGTCGGTACTGGGACCAGTGCTATTGAACATTTTTGCTGGAGACATGGACAGTGGGATCGAGGGCACCCTCAGCAAGTTTGCCACCAACACCAAGCTGTGTGGTGTGGTGACACGCTGGAGGGAAGGGATGCCATCCAGAGGGACCTGGACAGGCTTGAGAGGTGGGGCTGTGCCAACCTCATGGAGTTCAACAAGGCCAAGTGCAAGGTCCTGCATGTGGGTGGGGGCAACCCCCAGCACAAACACAGGCTGGGTGGAGAATGGATGGAGAGCAGCCCTGAGGAGAAGGACTTGGGGGTCTCGGGGGATGAGAAGCTCAACGTGACCCGGCCACATGCGCTGGCAGCCCAGAAACCACCCGTGTCCTGGGGGCATCTCCAGCAGCGTGAGCAGCAGGGCAAGGGAGGGGATTGTCCCCCTCTGCTCCACTCTGCTGAGACCCCGTGAGAAGCTCAGAGTTTCCAGCTCTGGGGTCCTCAGCACGGGACAGACACTGAGCTGTTGGAGCAGGGCCAGAGGAGGCCACGGAGATGGTGCGAGGCTGGAGCAGCTCCTGTGCGAGGACAGGCTGAGAGAGTTGGGGGGGTGCAGCCTGGATAAGAGAAGGCTCCGGGGAGACCTTCCAGTGCTGAAAGGGGGCTACAGGAGATGGGGAGGGACTCTTGATGGCAGAGGGGGGACAGGACAAGGGGGCACAGGTGTAGGCTGAAAGAAGGGAGATTTAGGTTACATATTAGGACGAAATTCTTCCCTGTGCGGGTGGTGAGGCAGTGGCCCAGGTTGCCCAGAGTAGCTGTGGATGGCTCATTCCTGGAGGGGGTCAAGGCCACACTAAATGAGGCTTTGGGCAACCTGGGCTAGTGGGAGGTGTCCCTGCTCATGGCAGGGGGTGGGACTCGATGGGCTTTAAGGTCCTTTCCAGCCCAAACCATCCTGTGATTCTATGAGATCTTCAGGACACGCTAACAGTGGACCACATTATAGCCAGCTCATGTTTTGCCTGAAGTGGAAAGGATTTGTCATCTCCCTCCCAGAAAGTATTGCTCCAAAACCTAGAAAGAAATCCTGCATTTTACACCTGATACAGTAGCAAAAAAACCAAATTCACAGAGATAGCCAGGCCAGCACCCTCATGGGTCTGGTACCATTGTCCCGTCCTGAGGAAAGAAACCTCCACGCAAGCCACGAGCAATAAGAACAGCTTCGCCTCTTGCCAGTGGCAGTAATGTTCTGCTTCCAACAGTTCCCTGGAAACACCGCCTGCAGAAAGCCCACCCAAAGGATCAGGCAAGCCTACTGAAAACCTGGAATCAAATTCAGGAAGTTAATCATCATCAGAGGATGAGCTAAGGCAGCAAGACACAGGACTTTAAACTTGGCGCAGAACATCTGACGTGTGCCAGGGGCTTACGGGCCCTCTGGTACCACCTGCCCCTTTCTGACATCCCAAAGTGCTGCACGTGAAGACTTGAGGGGATCCCATGGGGGGCTGCATGAGAGGCACGGATAGTTAGCTCCAGTCCACCTTCCTCACGCAATGCCAGAGTCCTCAGTCAGATCCCCTGCCTCTCCCAAAGGGTCACAGGCAGCGCCCAGCACATTCCTGAGGCCTCTCCCCTTTCCCTCCCAGAAGTACACATTTATTTTCTTCCACCTACTCTCTCCTCAGTGCACAGCAAATAGGAACCAAACTTTCGACCTCAGCCCCTTTTGTGGTTTGTTTTGGTTTGGGTTTGTTTGGTTTTTTTACACATTTCTTCCATCTCACTCCTG